ACCGAGACTGCAGGAGGTCACATATATGCATGGCTGGGAACAGAATATTTTAACCGGGGACCAGCACTGGCATGTGTCCACCACCACCACCCCACAGACACTGACACTTGGCTAAACAGAAAAGGTCTGACTAAATAATCAACCATGACTGAGAAGGAAGGGGCAGGAGTTTGGGTAGTTTACATGGAATCAGCAAAGGGGAAATGCTTTTAGCTTGGCTAAGTTAGGGGGGATGTTTGCCCTAAAGACAGGGCTGAGGTGCAGCTCCCTCTTAAATGTTCAGGAAAGACTCTGCTGAAGGAAGAGGAAAGAGGCAGGTATCACAGAGGGTTAGCTGGAGGTGCTGGGCAGGAGGTGCCTGTGTGTTGAGAGGCAACATCTAGCAGGGTGAAAGTGATAGAGGACAGGGTTCAGCACTGACACAACATTTAAAATTCCCCAGTACAGCTCAGGACAGTCACTGAGGGCAGTTACCATTTCTGCAAAATCATCTTCATGCAGCTCCAAACTTTTCAGCCAAAGAACCAGAGGTGACAGTGGTTAGTGCACTCAGGCAGAGACTCCGGCCTGCTCAGGTGGGTTTGGCTCTGACCCCGCCAGGCTCCTCTTATCACAAACCCTGGTTCAGGACCAGACTCCCATCCTGCCTGATTCCCACTCCTCTTCACCTTCCCCCAGTAACATAAGGGAGAAGCCCTCTGGGAATACCCTTACACGGGGCCCCCTCAGATGGGGCAATACTGCTGGGAAATGAGCTGCCAGTTTCAGGGAGGGGCAGCAGAAGCACTAGCCCTGTGACCAAGGGAATGTCATTGGAAAGCCTGTTTTGGGAGAGTAAACATGTCCCAATAACACAAAGGCCTTATGAAATGTGGGATGGGCAGCTGGAGCAGCTGTAGAGACACATACACCATCCCCTTGGGCCAACAGACTTGCTCAGCCTGTATCTTATTGCCACTGTCTGCAGCAGCAAGGCCTGGGGAAAGACCTGTGGGCTAAAGGGTGTAAGAAAAAATAGCACAGTGGGAGATGGAACTGTTTGGTACCTCAGATGTCTGGCTTGACCTCCTCTTGCCGCAAGCCAGCCCTGCTGCAGCTCCTGTGTTCTTTTCCATCTACTTCAGCCAGGAATCCTTAGGCAATTGGTAGATCTCCAGCCAAGCTTTTGTGCTGTCTGCATTGGGAAACCACGTTGAGCAATTGGAAATAAGGAGAAAGGGTCTTTCAAGCAAGCAGCCTCTGTTGTCTTATATCCTTGAAAAAAGATCTGGATATTTTCTGAAATACAAAATCTCTGCAGTCTACCTCTCCTCCCACTTAAGGCTTGACATGCTTGACTAAGACTGACATCTCAGCCTCCATCTCAAGTCCTCAAGGTCCCACATCCATCAAAGAAATTCCATGAAGCTACTCAGTCAAGAATTTGACTTGTAACCTCTGAGGAGTAGCAAATAGAAAATGAGACATGGTCTCACATTATTCTCTGCGGATGCTACATATCACATTCTCAGCATGCATCCAGGCAGATTCCATGAAACATGGGTCCAGAAAACCTGATAGAAATGGATTCACAAAGGCAGCTGCCATGAAACAGAAGAATGTTGTAGCCAGGAGTTTCTTCTAGTATTTTTAGACTCTCTATGCAGCCTGGCTTATGTCTGCAGAGAAAATTCTTCAGGTCTACATATTTCCAGGGTGAAAGTGAGCCATAGCAAACCAGAGGAAGAACTCATACATCTGGGGAGGAAGAACTTGGTACTTGTGGGGAGGAGAAGGAAACCTGCTTTCACTGAGCTTCCTGGGAGCTGGGAACTGCACTGACTGGTTCCAGACAGCTCACTTTTGGGATCAGTCCTGATCCACACCAAGTCTTTTGGGGAGGACAGGGAGTGGCAGGAGCAGCTTCCTAAGTAAGAGGAGGGACTGTGAGGGTTAGAACAGGATCCTTGGGTACCCAGAATACTTGCAGCATTTTGAAAGCATTGCTGTCGGCCCCTCTGCTAGACACAACAGTTGTCCCCCAACACACCATGCTCCTGCACTTGCCTTGCAGCAGGACTCCTGCATAATCACCTCCTGGGGACAGCACCACCTCTACACAAGTACACAAGTATCCTCCCGCCAAAGAAAACCAGCAAGATCACAGATTCAGAGAGCTCCATGGCCTTACACAGATATTACACAATCTGCCTGAAGGTCAGGCAGATTTTTGGAAGAACAGGAATAACTATTGGGGAGCACTCTTGGAGTGCTGCTGCCCATGACAGAATTTCCTGAGGACAATTAGTTCTCCTCATGATGGATCACTTACCAGTGTGTGCCCACTGACTATGAAATTATCTCACTGCTTACCACTTCAAGCAGGACTTTAATGAGCAGGAAGTTTTCCTGGTGAAAGCAGAAGAACCAGATAAGCCCTGGAAGAGAAATACAGAAGTAACAGGAAGGAGATATAAGTGAATGGGTGGTAGCCACGCTCTTGGGAGCTGGCTGTTACATGTGTAGGAGAGTGAACAGGACTGCATTTTTCCCTGGGCTCAAGGAACAATATCCCACTGTTTCCAACACTAAACTTTTGCAGGCTTCCTCATGCCAGCACCAGCAAACATTAGACTGTGCATAGAGATGGATAAACCAGCTTGAAAAGTATGTCCACCAGAATTGACAAGCTTCAGATGAACCAACAAACTAACCTATTTCCCATAGGGAAATTACAGGTGCAGCAACAGGTCAAGGGCAGGAGGTCATACCAAGCAATGATTCTTACTGTCCAGTCCAAGCTGTTCCTAAAATTTACTGTGCTTCACCCTCAGCTCTGCACCTGCCTCTGCTGCTCCAAAGAGGTCACCAAACCCACACCCTCTGCTAATCACAAGGCCACTGTCATCCTACAGCCTCTTAGCTATCTAACGCCCTCTTTGCAGGGCTCTCTAGGAAACCTGTCAGCCATCCTAATGTTCCTCCTTATCTAGCACTCTTCCATAATACAGCTGCCAATTCAGCTCCAGAGCACAGCTATCCCCAGCTAGGGCGAGGAAATCCGTGTCACACTAACCCATTTTATCCACAGAAAGCAGGACATGGCACTCGTTCCCCAAATCTGAGGTCTGGATGGCACAGATCTCTGTCTTGGCTCCATCCCAAACACAGACATCCTTGTAGTCACACGTATTGGAGGCAGCCAGACCCACAGACAGACCAAGAAAGATGTATCTGCCAGACACTGCAAGACAATTGGCTCTTCCAGTTACCTACCAAGAAAGAGAAAAGATAAATGTACCCAACTGCCTTCCCACTGAAGAATACATCAGCCATACTAATGATATACTCCTGAACTTTCACCAACAGAAAATCTTGACTTACTCTGTAAGGTACAAATTTGACATGTGTTTTCATCAGAGGAGCAGGTGAGGGGCTCTCATCTCTGTCAAAGAGATTGTTCTGTGTTGGGAATAAGAAAGTTTGCTCCCACCATTCCCCATCCTGTAAACAGAAGGGGCTTTAAAGGCCAAGAACTCAGGAACACTCAGCCCTCTCACTGCTAACAGAGAGCTGGGATGGGATACTGAACTTCTCCAGGCAATTACAGAACAGCAGCACATCCTCCTGGATCCTCCACATAATGATGGGGAAGGCAGCACTGTCCGGCTCACGGTGCTCCCATTGGAGTATTCACCATAGCAGGGAGCTGAGTTTGACCACTGATGTGCTACTCACTAATTACCTTCTCAGCAAACAAGGGTGGAGCCAGCCTGGGAAGCAGAAGGTGAATTTAGTGTTTAGTATCTGCTTCTCTCTTTCCAGAGAGGTGTGATAGATGAGTGGGAAGCAGAACCTGTCAGACAAGCTTCGAAGCTGCAAGCTTTTAAAGTGAACTAGTGACAGTGGTGGATTCTGAGGGAGGTCACGAACAGAAGAATGTGAACTCAACTGAATGGATATTATTTAGAAAATCTGCTACAGTGATCAATGCTCTCTCTGCTGTGAGGGGCTCTATTGAGGGGTTCTGTACCTGGAACTCAGCTGTAGGAAAGCATTTTGTGGGCTGGACCTTTAGGTTTTGTGCTTCTTGGAGCATCTCCCTTCTCTCAATGATTTCCATTGCACTTTCGAAGACCTGCATCACCAGTTTGCTGATCATCCTGAGTGGCTGAGGCAACGCATCACGCTCCCGATTGGGATCCAGCCGGAAGAAATCTTCCTCATCATCCTTTAGCCAGTCCTTTGCAGATGGTGGGGGAATCTCCAGGGGATGCTTCTGGATATACACAGCCATGGTTCTTCCCATCCAGATGCAAAACACACCACAGGTGCAGGAATCACCCTGGATGCAGAAGAACGAGGAGTCCTTCCATACCTACTTTTATGAGGTAATGGGGGAAAAGATGATTAATGCTCTCTAAGGGGGGGATAAAGCAGTGTCAATACTTAAAATATCCCCATACTCTAAGCATCCCAATATGAGTATTGCTGCCAGAGCAACCCTGTTCTATACAGCTCCTTTCTGCTTGCCTCCCCTCTGTTCCTCGGGGGGTTTGCCCTGCTCGGGGGGGGGTATCATCCAGATAGAGAGCAGGCAGAGAGCCTAAAAACTTGGTGCGAGAATAACGACAAAGCATTAAAAAAATAAAAATTAAATGGATTGAACACGCTTATTCTGCCTGGATAAAACCCCCCAAACACCAACTGGGGAATCAGCCGTTCCCGCTGGGAAGAGCCGCTCCGTTTCCAAGGCGGAGCTGGGGCGAGGGGCAGGGCTGGCTGCGGGTGGAGTGCCCGGGA